ACGGGTGTGATTCCCAGGTGGCGGGTGAAGTTGAGGCGGAAGGAGGAGAAATCTGACGTGGCAGCGGGTGAGCAGCGACACAAAGCCATCGGGAGAATACATGGGACACACCGGAAAACTGGAAGGCAGCGACAACAGAGGAGCCGAAAACGAGAGAGAGCACTGACTGCAAAGACAGAGTAACATACTTCCCTCTTAACTCCCCCCTCTCACCACCTAGCACCTCCCCCGCTTGTCTCGCCTGACCAGTAAAAAAAAAAAAGACCCGATCCAAAAAAAGAATAAAAAATCAGCCAAAACAGAACATATCCGGTAAAAAACGTTCGAGAATTGCCGAATTGTTGACATGACTCCGTTAAAAATATCAATGAAGAAAGGGGGACGACGAAGTACGTTACTACTCTACAGGGGGGCTACGAGTCACATGTCTTGGTTGATGGGGACCGGGAGGAAACAAGCCCTGCCGAGTGGAAACACACTTCAGAGCATAACCCAAAGGGAAGAAGGAAGCGGGAGGATGAGCCACATGTCTGGGTTGATGGGGACCGGGAGAAAACAAGCCCTGCCAAGTGGAAACACACTTCAGAGCATAACCCAAGGGGAAGAAGGAAGTGGGAGGTTGTGGAACACAAGCAAGGAGGAGGAAGGCAAGCAAAACTTGAGGAATGAAAACGACATAGTTATGAAGGAAGTAGGGGTCATGTTAAGTGAAGAGGAGAGGAAATAAAAACAAGGAGACGTGGTAAAGGCAGCCAGACGAACCGAAGAAAAAAAGAAGGGGAGAAATCAGGAGGAGGAAGCGGGGCGACGAAAGGGGGATGTAGGGCAACAACCCTCATGGGTGAGCAGAGTCCGCAATACAATGCAAGACAAGACTCTATGCATCAAAAGACAACAAGAGGGGGGATGCGATGCGATGGGAGCACAAACCACTGATTTACAGATCCCCCTAAAAAACCTATCCCCAGCGCACACGTTCTTTCTCACTCTGTTCCTGAACCCTGCAGAAAACAGTGTGATGGATCAAGGGGGAAGAAAGTTGCTTGTCAGAACCTACCCACCCAACAAACTGGTGGAGAGAGAAAAAATTTACACACAGTATGGCAGCAATTGGGTATTTCATGACGACGCGGCCTACAAATCCACAAATGAAAAAATAAAATGGATATGTAAATAGTTGGAAGAGATGAAAGGCAGCCCGGAGGCTGTTCATGAGTTTTTTTTATACAACCCATCTCTTCCACTGTTTACACAATCCTCTCTATTTTTGAACAGGATAAACTTCGTATGGATAGCTGGAAGAGGTTGAGGTGTGGCAGATCGGAGGTACGTGTATACCCCTGGCTCTCCCAAAAAATGGGTCCAGAGGAAAGATGGGAACAGATGATGCGGGAATATTACTGGGTCGAATTAAGACAAATACCAGTTGAAATACAAGCCGCCTTTATTCATGAGTTCGGCCAGCGGTACAATATCATGGACTTCATCGGGCCACTCCCGTCGTACGTGGCCAAACCGGATGACCATGTTATGCTGGCTTAGGATTTGCCACATGATCAACTCTTTACTATAAATGACATTGTTCCATTCAAAGTAGGGGGAAGGGTCTATCAGGTACACACTGCCCATAAGATGAGGCCATGGTGCTTCAGATGCAAGGCATATGGGCACATAGGAAAAGAGACTGCATGGCCCCATCACCCTCTCAAACGTGAACGGGCCACAGGCAGGCTGCAATAGGGCCCGCTCTCACCTACCAGATGGACGACGGTAGACCCTGGCCATGAAGGTTGGGTCTATGTGGAAGAGAAGGATGTGAACGGGCAACTTTTTAGATGGAAATGGGAAGGTAGAGGAGAACAATGATGGGATACGAGCCCGCCCAACACGTGGTATCCCCCATAGCTGCCTGAACAAGGCCCCCCCCCCCCCCCCTTCCCACCTCCCCCAGGCCAGAAAGAGAGTGACAAGAAACTGAAATCTCAACGGAAGGAACCTCAATGGAAGGAAAAGGGTCCAGGTGGGACACATACTGTTGCATACTGTAACGTTGCAGACCAAAACAAGAACCGACCTCTCAATACAAAGTATAAGATAGCACAGCGGAAGACTTAGATACCAATGATCCGACAATCAATATTGCAATGCAACTCTGAACATACATCATCGTCATCGTTACACGGTGTGAATGGGGTCTGGCGCTTCACACAAAAAGACTGCGCCAACCCCTACCATACACAGACGAAGAGGAAGGGGGTTAGACGAAGAGGAGGGGAAGATGGGAATGTCGTCAACACCAAGTCTTCGCACAGACCCAAATGTTTGAATCCCAAATGTCAAGTCTGGATCCAAGGTCGTCAATTCTCAAGTCACAACTCTGTCTCTCTCTGTCATAGTCTGAGAAGTCAGGTGGTGAGAGGGTGAGAAGAGATGGTGGGCTTAGAAGAGGAAGAAGAAGAACTCTCTCTCTCTCTGTGTCCAGTACTAACCTGTGAAGTTGGCGCCTTGATGCAGGTACCTCGAAGATGGAGCTGGAGCGATGGCGCCATAGGTACGTACCACTGGCCTCCGCCAGTATCTCTCCCCACTCTACGATCTACCACCTACCAGCGCCCAACGCTGAAGACTACTGCTATGGCTATGGCGCCCAGCGCCGAAGACTACAGCTAACGCTGAAGACTACTGCCTAGCGCTGAAGACTACTGCAACACTCCTCCTGAGTGCTGCGGCCGAATCCTGAAGACTACTCGTGCCTACTGACAACTACCTACCCGGGAAGTGCATGAGAACTGCCTATGTACTACCGGGTGCCTCCTGACTGCAGGTGAGCAGTCCATAAGGCTGCTCTTGCCAATGCCGATCGGAGGCAGGGGCTGCCGCTGCAGCTCCTGCTCAAGCTCGTGAGGAACAAGCTATTTTTGGCCTGTTCCGAAACCCTGTATTCGTGCCTGAGTCTTAGGGGCGGTCGAAGCAATGAGGGCCTGAAAAAGGCCCTCCGTTTCAGACTGGAAAAACTTTGGGCCTGAAAGGCCCAGAAATAGGCTGAAACGGAATAGGGCCTGCAGGCCCTCGTATTTCAGCTTTCAAGCTGAAACGACCGGGGCCTATAAGCCGTAACTTTTAGGCTTTTAGGCTGAAAGTTCGGGACGGGTCCTGTAGGGCCCGTGTGGCTACGCAGTATGCCACACCCTCCCCTCCTTGAAAGACCGAGCTTACCTGCGAGGGCGAAGCTGTCTGTTTGAGGGAGGGACCACAGTCCGGGTGGGAGGGGCAGGTCGTGGGGGTCCCTTGGCTAACCTTTGACGCTCGTAGTGAGCGTAGATCAGCGGTGCGGATGCTTTCAAATCTGCTCCTGAAATCCACCGAGTGTCGTCGGGATTGCATGCTCTGAATGTAACTTTGTACTGTCGCGGCTTGCTGCCGTACTTGCGATCCGAGATGAAGCGGTCAACCTCCTGATGACCATCCATAGAAGAAGGGTCATGCGATCGTCGGCCGGGGAAGTCGTCACTCGTAGCTGGTGTATATGTTGCCAGCTTCGAGGCGTGAAAGGCTGGATGAACCGTCAGATGCTCGGGAATGTTGATCACAAATGAAGGGCTATTGGGCTCATCGCCCGCGGCTGCTGTCACAGACCAAGGTTCAAACCACTTGGGAAGCAGCTTGCGTGAAACATCCTATTCCAGTGCAAACTCTTCTGCGGAAACCCAAACCAGATCACCGGCGCGGATGGGACATGGTACGCGACCCCTGTTGGCTTGCTGCTGCATGCGGACTTGAGCCTTTTGCATGTTCGCACGGGCTTGAGTCAACAATTCCCTGTACTTCCGGACGGAAGCGGGAGAGCAGGCAGCGTCAATGTCGGCTGGTCGAGGGAGGAGAAGGTCGGCGAAGATCCGGCCTTTCCGTCCACCGTGGTGCAACTCGAATGGAGTCACGCCGATCGCCCGATGCATCGAAGTGTTGTAGGCGAACTCGATGTCGGGGAGGCGGTCAACCCAATCTTTCTGGTCCGGACAGATGAGTGTACGAAGCATCATTTGAGCGGTTTGATGTGCCCGCTCTGTCTGTCCGTCCGTCTGTGGATGCCGAGGCAAACTTGGTTTCATCTTCGTGCCAGACTCCTGCATGAGAGCAGTCCAAAATGCCGACATCAAGCGGGTGTCGCGGTCGCTGACTATGTCTTCTGGTACACCGTGACCACAAATCCAACCAGTGTGCAGGAGGCGTGCCAGGTCGGGAGCCGTGGAGTAGTACTTGCAAGGAAGAAAACGTGCGTACTTACTCAATCGGTCCACAACCGTGAGGATGCCGTCGTGCCCGAGCCGGTCGCGAGGGAACGGACCGGTGACGTCCATGGCAATGGAGAGCCCGGGTTCCCGTGGGATAGGCATCGGGCGTAACTCACCGTAGGGATTGCGGTTGCGGGGCTTGCTGCGTCGACAAACTTCGCAAGAGTCGCAATACCGAGTGACATCGGTAATGAGGTCGGGCCATCAGAATCGTTGTCGAAGCCGTGCAATAGTGCGGTTGACTCCGAAATGGCCGGCGAGTCGTGAATCATGATACTCGCCGAGGAGGCGAGTCCGAAGACGGCGGTCGCATGGGACACATAGTAAGTCCTTGCCTCTCGAGTGGAGGAGCAAGTACCCGTCAGCAATGCGATAGTGGCTGGCCGGCGGGTGATCCGAAGATAGTTGTGCATACAGCGTGGCGAAATCCGGATCAGACTCATATGCCCGGATGAAGTGTCGCTGAAGCTCCTCGTCGAATGCGAAGGCATGATGTGTCATAACGCAAAGATCGGGTCTTCGCGAGAGTGCACTTGCTGCGCGATTGGAGAGGCCGGGAAGATGTTTCGATGTGAAGTCAAACTGGTCAATGAAGTACATCCATCGTCCGATCGTGCTGCTCACCGTATCCTGCGTCTTGTAGTAGGTCAATGGATTGTTGTTCGTAACCCATGTGAACCTACGACGCCCAACGAGGAAATGCCGCCATCGCTTGAGAGTCATGACGAATGTGAGCAGCTCCTTCTTCCTTGCATTATCAAGCGAGTTGATGGGAGGCACTTTGTGGCTGAAATACTCCACAGGGTGCCAATCGTCGCCGTCGTGTTGTTCCAAGACTGCCCCAATGCCATATCCGGAAGCATTCGTAGTCACTCGTAGGCAGGACGGGGTCATAGATGCTAAGGACGGGTGCCATGAGCATGGTCGTCTTGAGTGTTTGGAATGATCGGCGTGCGTCGTCATCGAATACGAATGACACCTTTGGCGACTGTAACCTCGTCATAGGTGCAACAATCCTGGAGTATCTGATGATGAATCGCTGATAGTAGCCCGCCAAACCCATGAATGAACGAACGTCCATGGTGTTGGTGGGCTCGGGCCATACTCGTAGGGCCTCGATCTTGTCCGCAAGCGGACGGATGCCTTTCGGCGTCCCATAGTGTCCCAAGTACTCCAGCTCTTGCCGCGCGAATTCGCACTTGTCGCGGTTGGCTTTGAACTTGGCTTGACGTAGCCGCTTCAAAACGGTGCGCAGGTGTTCCACATGCTCCTCCAAACTCCGGCTGTACTCTAGGATGTCGTCGAGGTAGATAAGTACGTATCGATCCAGCATGTGTCGGAACTCCGTTGTCATAGCCGCTTGGAAAGTGGTCGGGGCATTCGTAAGGCCAAATGGCATAACCAGCCATTCGAAATGCCCATATCGCATCTTAAACGTGGTCTTGTAGCGATCCTCCTGCCGGATCTCGAGTTGGTGATATCCCGACTTGAGATCGAGCTTGGAGAAGAACTTGGCGCCACCCGGTCGCTCGAGAAGATCGTTGATGCGTGGGAGAGGGCCGACGTTTCTGATCGTCTGCGCGTTGAGCTTGCGATAATCGATGCACAACCGCAGATCCTTGTTCTTATTCCGGACGAAGAGAACAGGAGCACAGTATGGCGATGAGCTAGGCCGAATCCAGCCTTTCTCCAGAAGGTCGTCGAGTTGTGCCCGAAGCACACTTAACTCTTCCTCGCTCATTCGGTAGATGCAACCGCGTGGAGGTACGGCCCCGTTCTCGAGGATGATCTCGTGGCGGATGGGCCGATCCGGTACTACTCCGTGCGGGCCTTTGAATACGTCGCTGTAGGCGTCGAGAAGCTCGGTGATACGTGGATCCGAAGAAGAGTCCGTCGATGAAGCGTCATGGGGCGGGAGGGCGTGGAGAAAACACACCCCCATCTCCTCGATGTCGTCTCTGATGATGGAAGCTCGCATGCTTGCAGCGGATACCACGTGACAGTTGACTGAAGGGTGAGGAGGAGCTACCGTGCATGGGACTAGTACTCCGTTCCGATCACGAAYGTGAAYGGTGCGRCGGTAGAAGTYCACCGGGTGRTCCTCGCTTCGCAGCCATGACATGCCCAAGATCATGTCGAATTTGGTGTCCAGAATGTCAAAGGACACCGCCTCACTTGCGTGAGGGGCAAAGTACACTGGGACGTCATCAATGCACCGGTCGATTGACTTGTGCGTGTGACCGTCCGTCAACGTGACTTGCGTGGGCTGGGACTTCCTTCGGACTCGTGGGCCAAGGCCGGCGCGTACCATGAAGTCCCGACTCATGTAGTTGCGAGATGCTCCCCAATCAATCAAAGCGCTGCAGGTCGCCTCTCCGATCTGAATGAGTACATATAGCAATGGTGCATCGATGTCGTCGTACCGTTGCGTCTTGAACTCGCGGTCGATCTTCGCAATGTAGGCGTGAAGGTCGACAACCTCTACTCCGGCGTCCATCAACGGAGTCGGTACTGCAGTGTGCAAGTTGTCCCGCAATTGTGCTTTGAGCACGTTGCAATGCGGTTTCGGCAATCGAACGGACCGGGGCAGGGGCATCCATTGGAAGTCCTCAAAAGTCGACGGGCCGAGTTCTTCAAGACTTGACCATGACATTGAATCCCCGGCGGTAGATGACGGCGAAGCTGCCGAATCGGTTGCCGATGGTGATGAAACCGTGCATGCGGTAGATTGTTGCACGTGGAGCGGTTGGTCCAGCGGTGGAACCAAGTGGACAACATAATCCTCGTAAGTGTACCGAGGACTTGTGGCATTCGCATCCTCCCCAGATGTGTAGGAGGCCGCTAGCAAGGCGACCGAATCTGGTGGAGTGGGGGGTGGAGTCGCCTCACCTCCCGCGAAACTCACTTTCCCGAGTTGAGCTGAGGCGCACATCCTCCTTGGCCTGATCCTGGCAAAGAGAGGTCTTGTGCTTGGTGCTGTTGCACCAGTAGCAGCATCCGTAACGGCCGCGGTACTTATACTCGGGCTCATTCAAGCCGAACTTGACTCATGGTGGTGCTGGTTGTCCATTTCCGGCCTGCGATGCTGGTTTCGCCTTCCCATTGTTCCGGGACTTGTTGTTGCTTCGCGGCTGGACAACAGCCACCTAATCTCCCTCACGTGATGCTGGAGTGGCTGTTGGGTCTTCTCCACTGTCCGATTGGACTGCAGCGAACTGCTGTTGTCGCAGACCAGTTCTTACCCTCTCCACATAGGTTGGCTGCCACGTGGACTTCTCGTGTGCAGCCGCCCTGTTGGTCTTGATGATCTCTCTTGGCTTGTCGATGATTTCGACGAAAGATGCATACTGCTCGCGATCACCAAGTGCCTGGCTCAGCGCAGCGCATGACCCGTTATAGAACTCACGACGTAGATGAGTGAATGGTAAGTCCAGATCGGGCACTGCCGCGATCTTCTGCCATTCCGTGAGCCAGTCTCGTGTTATTGTGTTGCCCTGTGACATGGTGAAAAAACGGTTGATGGCGAGTGCCGGCGCGTCGTCGACGATGAACCATTTCTTCCACAACCGTGTCAGTTTCTCCCATGTGATCTTGTCCTTCAAGTCTGGTACGTCGACGTCGTGAGAGGTTGCCAGGTGGGTCAACCAGGTCTGGCATCCGCCCTTTGAGTTCATGAAGAGGGCGTCGATGTACACATGCTTAGCGACAGGCAGAATCCGAAGTTGCGTCGTGAATGCTTCCCACCAGAGGACCGGATCCTGCTGCGTGTAGTCGTCGAACTTGTCCAGTTGGAAAGTTGGCATTTTGTACAACTTAGGATTGCCATCCGTGTTCGTCGATTGCAGCTGCTGGACCTCGGTCTTCAAGGTATGCAGCTGACTGCTGATGGTGGTCGGCGCAGCGCAGGTGCTGAAGTCGCCGAGCATTGCCACTACGTTGTCAACGCGTTCCTCCAGTTGGCGGCTAGAGGGTGCACTGTTGGAGGCACCAACATCTGGTCCTGGTACAGTCTGTTCCAGGTCCAGTACACGAGAATTGAGTGCCCGTGTAGCATCCTCGTGGCTCTGCACCATCCGACGGAGGTTCGCCAACTCTTGGTGCTGTGTCTTCAGATCCTGGTACTGTTGCTGCATTTCCTGGTTCTGTTTCTCTAACTCGGACCATTGGTAGTTGCAAGCATGCAACAACCGTGTCACGAGTTTGGAGAAGAACTCCTTATGCTGCTCTTCCGGTGTTGCCTCGTCGCCGTTCGGTTCAAAGTGCCAGAACTTGGGTCTCTCGATGCTGCTGGCTTCATGCCGCTGCAGCAGATCCTGGGCTTCGTTGCGGCGAGCCTAGGCATCTGCGTCTGCTTCGGCCTGTAGCCACAACTTCTCTGCTGTTGCCGCTTCTTCAACCTGTAGCTGGGCAGCCTTGGCTGCCAGCTGGCGTTGTTCCTCAGCCTCGATTAAAGCGAGCTGAGCCTGGAAGCGCTTTTGTAGTCGGCAATGGGCTCATTGGCCAATTGGCCTGGTAGGCCCATCATGTTGCTAACGTGGCACTGCTGACGTGGCACTTTGTCTGACGTGGCACTGCTGACGTGGCACTGCTTACGTGACACTGTGTCTGACGTGGCACTGCTGACGTGTCACTGTCGATGTGGCCTGCTGACGTGTCACTGCTGACGTGTCACTGGTGACGTGGCCTGCTGACGTGTCACTATGTCTGATGTGGTACTGTACCAACCCGGAAATGCATGCAGAGGGTGGGTGGGAGGGAAAACGCAGGTAGGAAACCAACCCAACAATACTTTCCTCCGGCCCTAATCAACAGATAAAATAAAAATAAAAAAATAAAAGAGGACTACTTCCTTATTTTTTTTCTTTTTTTTTTGTATATCTGTCGATCTATTATGAGTAGGACATGTCAGAAGAGTACTATGAACGAGATCTAGGCTAGGTTCCGCAAAGTTTCGGCTTTTACAAAATGCGATCTTGAATTTTTTTTTGCGAAATGGAGTAAGGATGCGATTTTCAGAAAATGATGAAATCCAGTTTTTGAGAATATGGCAACCTCCGAATATGCCTAACGCAATATTGGTAGACTTCGCAAGATTCCGGTTTTCGAAAAAAAAAATTGCGAGATAGAATGGAAATTCGATTTTCATAAAAGAATAATTCCAGTTTCCGAGAACATGACCACTTCTATCGTTATCCCAATATGCCTAGAGAATGAAATACTAACTTCAGGAATTTTAGCTATGTATGCGAAATATCAGAGAAACGAAAAGCTACTATCGGGAATTTTCAGACAAAACGAAAATGCGATTTATCAGAAATTTTCAGATATTTGTTATGTAAAAACGAACTACAAATATCAGAAATTTTTCGGTAAAACGAAATGCAAATATCAGAAATTTTCAGATAATTGTTGCGAGAAAAACAAATTTCAGAGATTTGACGAAGTCCTACTTGATTTACTAACGAGTAATCAATAGATCAAGCAAGCTGGCTATTTGATTGAGCAGGTCTTTTGAATGAGAGGTCCTCTCCGATACCAAACTGTTGCATAATGTAACGTTGCAGACCAGAACAAGAACCGACCTCTCAATACAAAGTATAAGATAGCACAGCGGAAGACTTAGATACCAATGATCCGACAATCAATATTGCAATGCAGCTCTGAACATACATCATCGTCATCGTTACACGGTGTGAATGGGATCTGGCGCTTCACACAGGAAGACTGCGCCAGCCCCTACCATACACAGACGAAGAGGAAGGGGGTTAGACGAAGAGGAGGGGAAGATGAGAATGTCGTCAACACCAAGTCTTCGCACAGGCCCAAATAGTCCCTCGTCAAAATGTCTGAATCCCAAATGTCGAGTTTGGATCCAACGTCGTCAAGTCTCAAGTCACAACTCTGTCTCTCTCTGTCGTAGTCTGAGAAGTCAGGTGGTGAGAGGGTGAGAAAAGATGGTGGACTTAGAAGAGGAAGAAAAAAAACTCTCTCTCTCTCTCTGTGTCCAGTACTAACATGTGAAGTTGGCGCCTTGATGCAGGTACCTCGAAGATGGAGTTGAAGCGATGGCGCCACAGGTACGTACCACTGGCCTCCGCCAGTATCTCTCCCCACTCTACGATCTACCACCTACCAGCGCCCAACGCTGAAGACTACTGCTATGGCTATGGCGCCCAGCGCCGAAGACTACAGCTAACGCTGAAGACTACTGCCTAGCGCTGAAGACTACTGCAACACTCCTCCTGAGTGCTGCGGCCGAATCCTGAAGACTACTCGTGCCTACTGACAACTACCTACCCGGGAAGTGCATGAGAACTGCCTATGTACTACCGGGTGCCTCCTGACTGCAGGTGAGCAGTCCATAAGGCTGCTCTTGCCAATGCCGATCGGAGGCAGGGGCTGCCGCTGCAGCTCCTGCTCAAGCTCGTGAGGAACAAGCTATTTTTGGCCTGTTCCGAAACCCTGTATTCGTGCCTGAGTCTTAGGGGCGGTCGAAGCAATGAGGGCCTGAAAAAGGCCCTCCGTTTCAGACTGGAAAAACTTTGGGCCTGAAAGGCCCAGAAATAGGCTGAAACGGAATAGGGCCTGCAGGCCCTCGTATTTCAGCTTTCANTCTCTCCCCACTCTACGATCTACCACCTACCAGCGCCCAACGCTGAAGACTACTGCTATGGCTATGGCGCCCAGCGCCGAAGACTACAGCTAACGATGAAGACTACTTCCTAGCGCTGAAGACTACTGCAACGCTCCTTCTGAGTGATGCGGCCGAATCCTGAAGACTACTCGTGCCTACTGACAACTACCTACCCAGGAAGTGCATGGGAACTGCCTATGTACTACCGGGTGCCTCCTGACTGCAGGCGAGCAGTCCAGGAGGCTATCGGAGGCAGGGGCTGCCGCTACAGCTCCTGCTCAAGCTCGTGAGGAACAAACTATTTCTGGCCTGTTCCGAAACCCTGTATTCGTGCCTGAGTCTTAGGGGCAGTCGAAACAATGAGGGCCTAAAAAAGGCCCTCCGTTTCAGACTGGAAAAACTTTGGGCCTGAAAGGCCCAGAAATAGGCTGAAACGGAATAGGGCCTGCAGGCCCTCGTATTTCAGCTTTCAGGCTGAAACGACCGGGGCCTGTAAGCCCTAACTTTTAGGCTTTAGGCTGAAAGTCCGGGACGGGCCCTGCAGGGCCCGTGTGGCTACGCAGTATGCCATACATACTATGGGGCCAAAAGCGAAGGACTACCTGGGCAGGATGCAGGAGGAGGCAAAAGGGATGGAAGTCGGACAAGTCTCAGAGAAACAGAGGGAGAAGAAGGAAGGGGTACTGAAGTGGATGCCAGAGGGGGGAAAGGAGAAGGGAAAGGGGAAAGGAAAAAGGAAGCAGGGTGAGGAACAAGAGGGGGAGATGGGGACGAGTCAAACTGATATCTTTAGTAAAGTCTTCGGACCGACTCCCATGGAAGTGAAGGAAATTCAAGGAGCATCCCCCCCCCCCCCACCTCCCCCTACGATAGGTGAGGTGATGCAAGACGCGGAAGAGAAAAAGGAAATGAARGAAGGACAGACAGACCAGCAGGCTGAATCCGAAACGGCGGAGGATAGATTAAGAAACGTATATGAATGGATAATGCACAATTTACACCTTAAATTCCCAGATCTGTCTGAGGAATTCTGGGACAATGCATTCAGAGAACTCATCCCGCTATTGGAGAACAGTGGGAGCCTCAGATTTGTCCTGGACCAGAGACTTCCACAAAAAATGTGTTGGGAAGAGGTCTGCCACCAAATGCTGAGTATCGTCCTCACAAGATTCCACCCCCCAACTGCTGCACCGGAAGATACCCCAGAGGAACAAGGAAAAAAAGAAAAAACGGTCAAAAACATGGATGGGATAGGAGGAAGTGAAGGAGGATCACAAACGAAAGCGGGCCCCGTGGGGAGGCAGAAGCTCAGACACGTCCCAGAAAAAGGACAATGGCTGCAATCACTATCAAAAACAGATGTGATGGCAGTGCCGGTGCGGAAAAAGGAAGGAAGGTGGGAAATAGGCCTGACAAGTCTACCGCAATCACAAAAGGGGGAGGTTACACGGGTGGGAACCCAAAGTGCCTCATTGGTTGTCATCTGGGGAGGAGGCATTCCAAATGGAAATGAAGGAATTCTTACGCTGCACATACCAACCAGGGGCAATGGCGGTTAAAAGAGTCACATATGGCCAACATACGTTGACAGATACATACCTATATGTGTTGTTCGAACCTGGAAAGGAGACGGGTCTGCGGTGGCTCTCATAAAATGCATTGTTGGATCTCCAACTTCAGAAAATCCAGAGCAGCAAAAACTGGCCAGAGGGAAATGTTCGAACAACCCTCCTCAGAATTATGAAGGAAGGACATCTTCACACAGCTGGCATAAAGGAGGCAAATTGGGACCTGGTGGAGTGGGAGGCATTGGGATAAGGGGATGAAGAGTGAGGGTGGAGAGGAGGAAGACAAGAATGGATTTGACAAAGATCTTGTATGGGAAGAATAAGGTATGGGCGCAGACAAAAAGAAAAGCACACTTAAACTTGAGGTCTCTGAATGTGAACAATTTGGCCACGGCCCCCCCTCAAAAGAAATAGGCCATATGGGAACAACTAAGAGGGATAGAAGGGAGGGATTGGCCAGATGTCATATGTGTCCAGGAAACCCGCCTTATGGACAAGGCGGAGCACCACCATGCACGCAAGGAGGTATGGCCCTGCCAGGCCTTTCGGGCGCATGCCCCAAGACCGGGGAGCGCGGGGGTGGCTATTTGGATCCCTCCCAACTCAAGGGCTGAACTTGTTCATTGGGAGAAAGATCAGATAGAAGGGAGATAGGTGTCAGTCCTGGTAATGCTGGAGCTGGAGATGATACGAATCTTCTGTGCGTATGGACCGAACAAGGTAGGGGCCAGGCGGGCCTTCTTCGAAGCTATCACCAACAGAATCCCGACTGATGGGATCCCGACCATTTTGGCGGGGGAT